GAGGTCACCCGGCCCCGTGGGGAGGTCACCGCCCCCGTGGGAGGTCACCTGGCTGGCGTGGAGCGTGGCGCAGTTGGGAGCCAGTCCGGCTGTCTCCATCTCCCCCCTCTCTTGGCCGCTGGCGGCTGGAGCAGCTCCTCCTGTTTCACTGACCGGCTTCCCTGTGGGGCCTGGGCAGGGGCTGGAGGTGGCGGTGGCTTCTGGTTGTGCCCCGGTGTGTGCCTGGCCCTTTCCCGATGGCGTCAGGTGCTCATGCATTTCGTCCCCTGAGCCACTGCTACCGACGGGGAGACTGAGGCACAGTGGGCGGGGCTGGCCCAGGGTGACGTGGCTGACGGGATCCGGGCCGTCTGACCGGCGCCCAGGCTGAGGGTCTGCCGTCCACCACCGGCCTCAGACGGAGGGAGGCCAGGCGGTCCCTGGGACCAAGAGACCCGCACTGCACCCTGCAGGTCACCCAGGGGCAGGCATTCACTTAAATAAACCCGGGACCTACCGCCTCCAGTAAGAACATCAGACTCAGGCTCCCACGGCCAGATAAACGAGGTGGAAGGTCATGTGGCCGCAAAACACAAAAGCTTCAGTTTTCCTAGAAACGGAGGTTTATTCCGATAGAGACCTGCTGAATACAAAGGGCTGAGATAAACGCGTCATCGTTCACATAAAACAATAGAGCATTTTAATAAAAATTAATGTTTTTCTTGAACATTAACTTCCCAGACACTGAATATAACTGCACAAATTAATAAGTGTGACGCAAATAAACCTATTTTTCTTGTTCTCCGAAAGTGAAATGTTTCCTGTTGTGCACACCCAACACGTCAGTGCAGGACTAATGACGTGGCCATTGCTGCTAAGATAGTCGCTGCTGGTATTAGTGGCGAGAAATGGTGCGCCTGCGCGTAAGGCACATAAGGGAAATGAATGCACCACACCCCCAGGGACCAGGGTCCAGTGCCCTCAGGGACCAGGGACCAGCACCCCCAGGGACCAGGGTCCAGTGCCCTCAGGGACCAGGGACCAGCACCCCCAGGGACCAGGGTCCAGTGCCCTCAGGGACCAGGGACCAGCACCCCCAGGGACCAGGGTCCAGTGCCCTCAGGGACCAGGGACCAGCACCCCCAGGGACCAGGGTCCAGTGCCCTCAGGGACCAGGGACCAGCACCCCCAGGGACCAGGGTCCAGTGCCCTCAGGGACCAGGGACCAGCACCCCCAGGGACCAGGGTCCAGTGCCCTCAGGGACCAGGGACCAGCACCCCCAGGGACCAGGGTCCAGTGCCCCCAGGGACCAGGGTCCAGTGCCCCCAGGGACCAGGGTCCAGTGCCCCCAGGGACCAGGGTCCAGTGCCCCCAGGGACCAGGGTCCAGTGCCCCCAGGGACCAGGGTCCAGTGCCCCCAGGGACCAGGGTCCAGTGCCCCCAGGGACCAGGGACCAGCACCCCCAGGGACCAGGGTCCAGTGCCCCCAGGGACCAGGGTCCAGTGCCCTCAGGGACCAGGGACCAGCACCCCCAGGGACCCCTGTGGAAGAGGGAGAACTCTGACACGCGTGGAGTGGGCACCTGGGGTGGGTCACCAGGCGGCACCGCGATGCCCATCCGGCAGGAGCAGGTTCTGATGGGAGCCCCGGGCGGGCAGAGCGTTTCCATGGCAGCCACCAGGGCACACAGCCCTGAGGTAGGCGCTGTGATGGTCCCCACTAGACGAGAGAATCCACTCTGCTAGGTGTGTCATTCCAGGGACGGCGACGGGAAAAACACATCTTCGCCTCCAGGACACGCGTGCCTGGCGTGTGGCTGGCGGTGCCAGGCCCGGCTGCTCTGTGGAGCACAGTGGTCTCCCGGTTAGGGGGGCGCAGAAACCTCCTCCCTCCGGGGAGAGATTGCTTCTTAACTGGAGCCGTCCCGCTGAGGACAGTCGTAGGCGGCACCGTGTTGCCCTTCGTGCTGTGTCTAACAGGACCCCGACCCGGCTGAACCTGGGTGTCGTTGCTGTGGAAGTTGTGCCGGGTGGGGCCCCGGGTCGCGTCTGTGCCTCCTCGATCCTGTAAACGCCCCGATCCCGGCTCTTCCGCTTCCACCTCCAAGTGCCTTGCTTCTCTCCTCTGCTGTGGGCACGCGCAGAGCCCTGTTTGAGGGTTTTATGAATGATGAGCGGTTTCTCTCAGGGATAAAGCGAGGCTTCGTGAAGGCTGCTGTCACTCAGGAGTCTTTCTTTGATCCCCAGGTTGGTGGCCGTGTTCCAGGTGTCCACGTCGCTGGACGCGTGACCTGCATCGCACCCGGTGAGCAGTTTACCCGCGTGCGTGTGCCTGGCCACTCAGTCGCTGATCCTCTTGCCCTGGACCTGACCTGGTGTTCGCTGCTTCCCACCCCTCATTCTCTGCACGGCCGCCCTCACGGTGTGTTCCAAACAGCGAGCTTCTGCGGACCCAAACCGCCCGGGTCGTCTGCTCGAGGGGAATTGTAGGGAGAGGCTGTGACGGAAGCCAGGTTCTCAGGGAGCATTTTAGTCTGACTCTGAAAAGATAGGGATTGTTTTTTCAACAGCACAGGACTATGATCCCGTGTGAAAGTGAACAATAGTTTATTTCTTACCGTCACTATTTATGTTCCGATTTCTGTGACGCCCTCAGGGACCAGGGACCAGCACCCCCAGGGACCCCTGTGGAAGAGGGAGAACTCTGACACGCGTGGAGTGGGCACCTGGGGTGGGTCACCAGGCGGCACCGCGATGCCCATCCGGCAGGAGCAGGTTCTGATGGGAGCCCCGGGCGGGCAGAGCGTTTCCATGGCAGCCACCAGGGCACACAGCCCTGAGGTAGGCGCTGTGATGGTCCCCACTAGACGAGAGAATCCACTCTGCTAGGTGTGTCATTCCAGGGACGGCGACGGGAAAAACACATCTTCGCCTCCAGGACACGCGTGCCTGGCGTGTGGCTGGCGGTGCCAGGCCCGGCTGCTCTGTGGAGCACAGTGGTCTCCCGGTTAGGGGGGCGCAGAAACCTCCTCCCTCCGGGGAGAGATTGCTTCTTAACTGGAGCCGTCCCGCTGAGGACAGTCGTAGGCGGCACCGTGTTGCCCTTCGTGCTGTGTCTAACAGGACCCCGACCCGGCTGAACCTGGGTGTCGTTGCTGTGGAAGTTGTGCCGGGTGGGGCCCCGGGTCGCGTCTGTGCCTCCTCGATCCTGTAAACGCCCCGATCCCGGCTCTTCCGCTTCCACCTCCAAGTGCCTTGCTTCTCTCCTCTGCTGTGGGCACGCGCAGAGCCCTGTTTGAGGGTTTTATGAATGATGAGCGGTTTCTCTCAGGGATAAAGCGAGGCTTCGTGAAGGCTGCTGTCACTCAGGAGTCTTTCTTTGATCCCCAGGTTGGTGGCCGTGTTCCAGGTGTCCACGTCGCTGGACGCGTGACCTGCATCGCACCCGGTGAGCAGTTTACCCGCGTGCGTGCCCGGGGCACCGGCTCTGCCGTGCGTGTGCCTGGCCGCTCAGTCGCTGATCCTCTTGCCCTGGACCTGACCTGGTGTTCGCTGCTTCCCACCCCTCATTCTCTGCACGGCCGCCCTCACGGTGTGTTCCAAACAGCGAGCTTCTACGGACCCAAACCGCCCGGGTCGTCTGCTCGAGGGGAATTGTAGGGAGAGGCTGTGACGGAAGCCAGGTTCTCAGGGAGCATTTTAGTCTGACTCTGAAAAGATAGGGATTGTTTTTTCAACAGCACAGGACTATGGTCCCGTGTGAAAGTGAACAATAGTTCATTTCTTACCGTCACTATTTATGTTCCGATTTCTGTGACCGTCTCAGAAATCACTTTTCCACGATGAGTTAAAAGCACTCGGGGTGACCAGAGGGTTTAACCGGGGCCCACACCCTGTACTTGTGGGTGCCCCTCCCGTAGTTCTGCCGGGAGGCGGGCGCCCCCCTCATTCTCTCCTGCACGGCGTTGGGTCAGGAAGCCGGGTCTTCTGTCCTGCGGGTCCCCACACGGAGATTTTGCTGCCAGCGTCCTTGTGCTGTTGAACATGTTTCATTGTCCCCAAAAGTTCCTGTCAGCTCAAGGCTGGATCAGGCTCAGGTTCAGTTTGTTGGTGAAAAATACTTCATATGCCCGGCCGGTGTGGCTCAGTGGTTGGGCATTGACTGGGAAGGTGAGGGGGGTCCCAGCCGTGTCTCTGATGGACCGGGAAGGTGTGGGGGTCCCAGCCGGGTCTCTGATGGACCGGGAAGGTGTGGGGGTCCCAGCCGGGTCTCTGATGGACCGGGAAGGTGTGGGGGTCCCAGCCGGGTCTCTGATGGACCGGGAAGGTGTGGGGGTCCCAGCCGGGTCTCTGATGGACCGGGAAGGTGTGGGGGTCCCAGCCGGGTCTCTGATGGACCGGGAAGGTGTGGGGGTCCCAGCCGGGTCTCTGATGGACCGGGAAGGTGTGGGGGTCCCAGCCGGGTCTCTGATGGACCGGGAAGGTGTGGGGGTCCCAGCCGGGTCTCTGATGGACCGGGAAGGTGTGGGGGTCCCAGCCGGGTCTCTGATGGACCGGGAAGGTGTGGGGGTCCCAGCCGGGTCTCTGATGGACCGGGAAGGTGTGGGGGTCCCAGCCGGGTCTCTGATGGACCGGGAAGGTGTGGGGGTCCCAGCCGGGTCTCTGATGGACCGGGAAGGTGTGGGGGTCCCAGCCGGGTCTCTGATGGACCGGGAAGGTGTGGGGGTCCCAGCCGGGTCTCTGATGGACCGGGAAGGTGTGGGGGTCCCAGCCGGGTCTCTGATGGACCGGGAAGGTGTGGGGGTCCCAGCCGGGTCTCTGATGGACCGGGAAGGTGTGGGGGTCCCAGCCGGGTCTCTGATGGACCGGGAAGGTGTGGGGGTCCCAGCCGGGTCTCTGATGGACCGGGAAGGTGTGGGGGTCCCAGCCGGGTCTCTGATGGACCGGGAAGGTGTGGGGGTCCCAGCCGGGTCTCTGATGGACCGGGAAGGTGTGGGGGTCCCAGCCGGGTCTCTGATGGACCGGGAAGGTGTGGGGGTCCCAGCCGGGTCTCTGATGGACCGGGAAGGTGTGGGGGTCCCAGCCGGGTCTCTGATGGACCGGGAAGGTGTGGGGGTCCCAGCCGGGTCTCTGATGGACCGGGAAGGTGTGGGGGTCCCAGCCGGGTCTCTGATGGACCGGGAAGGTGTGGGGGTCCCAGCCGGGTCTCTGATGGACCGGGAAGGTGTGGGGGGTCCCAGCCATGGTCTGTGATGGACCAGGAAGTGAGGGGGTCTCAGCCGTGTCTCTGATGGACCGGGAAGGGGAGGGGGTCCCAGCCGTGTCTCTGATGGACCAGGAAGGTGTGGGGGGGTCTCAGCCGTGTCTCTGATTGACCGGGAAGTGAGGGGGGTCCCAGCCGTGGTCTCTGATTGACCGGGAAGTGAGGGGGGTCTCAGCCGTGGTCTCTGATGGACCGGGAAGGTGAGGGGGGCCCCAGCCGTGTCTCTGATGGACCGGGAAGGTGAGGGGGTCCCAGCCGTGTCTCCCGGCCGCAGCCTCCGTGTGCAGGGCGACGGGGCCGCGGAGGAAGAGCAGTGGTTGTCTCGCCCTCTCATCCCAGCAGGGCCACTGACAGGTTCCTTATGGTTAAATGTTGGCTGCCAGACTCCAGCCCACGTGGCTGTTGGAGCGTCGCTCACCGAGCCCGACCAGCTCCGAGCTGTGTGGTCCTTGCAGAAGTTTGTGTCTGTCTTTTTTTTAAAAATGTTTTTATGGATTTTAGAGAGGAAGGGAGAGAGATACGAACATCAGCGATGAGAGAGAAACTTCAGTCGGCTGCCTCCTGCACGCCCCCTACTGGGGATCGCCCGCAACCCGGGCCTGCGCCCTGACCTGCGACCTCTGGGTGCGAGGATGACGCTCCGCCCCTGAGCCTCACGCCAGCTCGGCCTTTCTCGCCTGTGCGTCCAGCTTCGGAACCGACGAGCTGGCCTCGGGGACGGCGAGAAGCAGGTGCTCCTAATTGGCAGCATTAGGTACCCGGCACCGGATCATTTAAATAAGGTGCAGATTAAAGACTGTGTTTTTATTAGAAAAATTAAAAGCCAGGCAGATTGGCAGGGCAGGGAGGGGAGGCGAGCAGGGGCGGGTGGTGGGGAGGGGGCATTAGCGCTTAGCTCTGCGTTGAGGACGCTGTGGACGCTGTGCGAGGGTGAGGTCCTGCCTTAAAGGGCCAGCGCACGGA